AATCCTCCCCTTGAGTTGGCGAACTAGGCAGGAACAGGGGTCATTCCCCTCCTTCAGATGTGAGAGCTGAGTGTCAGGTTTTTTGGGGAACAAAGATGACTCCTCTCTCCCCACAGGGGTCCTTGTAGGCAACACTGCCTCTTCCTTGAGTCACCATCAAGCTGGAAAGCGAGGGAGCACCTACTGTGCCGCAGAACCTGGGCCCCTCCCTGCTTGATAAATTGTAGAGCTTTGCTTTAAAAATCACCTGGCTGTACTGCCTGCGAGTTCCTTCAGCCACGAAGTGGGAGAGCGAGGACGGGGACCTGCCTCTCCCAGAGGCCCGTCCTGTGCTCTGTGCCAAGCAGCCAGGCCTCCCTGCCCTGGACCTGCAGGCCGTGGCTCTCCCCCTACTTCCAGAACAGTCCCTGGAGACACAGACTGGCCCTCAGGGGCATTGAGGGTCTGCCATGCTGGCTGTGGCGACCTGAAGGCTTGATTGAGCTGGGCTGAGCACACCCGAGTTGCAGGGGTGTTCAGGCGCAGCTGTTGTGACCCCTTTGCACTGCCTGAGAAGTGGACCCTGGCAGCCCCGCTCCTCCCCCGCCCCCAGCTTGCCTGCTGTGTCGGCAGGTCCTCTGGGATGAAGGGGGACCGTCCCAGACCCTTGCAGGCCACGCACCCCTCTTTGTGCAGGGGCCCTGGCCGGCCACCTGTTGTTAATCTAACCCTGGCAATCCACTCTGTACTGTGTCAGCAGTTCAAAAGGGCACTGTTAGTATTTTTTGCCGACTTCAATTAACGTGAGATTTCAGAGGCCCCTCTGATCACATTTCATCTGTCACAAGGCAAGAACAAAACAGACAGGTTCCAGTTGAGAGGAGGAAGGAGAAGGAGTTTATTGCAAACAACAACCAAACAGACAGTTTGGGCTGTGCCCAGCCAAGGGTGCTCTGGGAGCGTCCGCATCTGCCCTCCATTTGGCCCCATGACTAGGCCCCTAGGTCCCCTTCTCATCAATAGTCCTCCCCTCCCAAAAAAGATGTAAGTGCAATAACTTACTTTCAAAGGCAAGAACACTTCTATTAATAGTTTGCTATAATGTAGTTACATGATGGTATAGGCAGTAAAACTTTATAGAACTGACCTCATTTTTTTATACATTTTTTTCTGAATTTTTAACGTATTTTTCATATATATATATATATTTTTTTAATATCCACCCCAGGCCATTAAGCTAAAGGAAAAGTTGCGTTTATACAGGGTTAAAATATCTTACAATGAGAACAGTCAGTATTGGTTGAGGTTCGTGTTCCTTCTAGCACTCAGCTCTCTTTCCAACCACTGCACATCCAAACAGATTGTTAGGCATTGAAAACTGTCCTTCAAAATCAGTAGTATAAAGGCCTAGCTCTATGTACGTAAGTGAAGGGGGACGAGGGGGCGGGCAAGGCTGGGCAATGTTGTGTTTCCTCCCTACGGCATCCTTCGTGAAGTGAAATGGGTGAGGTTGGGGTGACTTCGAGAAGTAGGGTTCTTGTCTTCTCATTTTTCTCTTTCATGGTCACGGATTATTATCCTGGGGGTCCGTTCGCCAGCCCTCCTCCCCCAGCTAAGCCAGTTTGCCTCTGCCTCTGTCAGTCAGGGCCATGGAGCAGACAGGAAGCCCCAGAGTATCTCTCAAGATGGTCTCCCCACAACCCAGCCCAGAGAGAATGGCTGCATAAGCAGGATACATGGTAGTTTTCATGGAAAAGTTCCTCTTATCTACCCGCCGAAATGAGGGCAGAAGGGGGCGCTGGAGCTGGGCCCAGTGTGGCCACAGCAATGTGTGCTGGGCCCCCACCTCACGACGGCTGCCCCCACCCCTTTGCAGTGTCTTTGAACTAACCTGGCCACCATGCTTCCCAAAGCTGGAGGCATGGTAATGAGAGCTGCGAATCAAGTATAGTTGAAAGATCTCAAGAAAAATTACAAAGCCCATGCATGTCCTCCAAGTGCCATTGAAGATGGGGACGAGCCTCTCCATGTGCCCCCAGAGCCCTCTGCTCCCATGCCCAGGAGTAGCAACAGCATCTGAGGGTGGTAGCAGCACCTTTGTGTCAAGCCTTGGCCGTGGAGGTTTACTCCCAGCCGGGATCAGAGGCTCAGTGTTGGGGAGGCTGCCCTCTGGTCTGCGAGCTGCCCATCCCCTCAGGCTTGCATTGCCATCTCTGTTGAGATCTTAGGCAAATGGCCAAAGGAAAGCCTCATGTCTTTTAGCTTATTCGCTTAGCAGTGACATACAGAGCAGGTCAATGGGCCTCTCTGCCTGCCCTCCTAAGGAGGCCAGCTGGCCTGGAGTCACTCAAGCGTGCTTAGTCATCACATGAGCTGCTTCAGGGACTCCCCCCACCCTAGACTGCAGAACGCCTGGGCCTAGCCACCCAACTGAGGAGGAACCAGAGAGAAGGCTGAGGAGAGGGAGACACTCAAGCAGACGGCTGAGCCGCTGAGTGAGGCGTGAGGCCCTGTGGAGACTTCATGCACCTGCCACCCAATGCCCACTAAGGCCGCTGTCAGAGCCTGCGTGGCGGATCCGGGCTCCTGTCTCAGCTTTGCCTCAGGTTAAATGCGGCTGGGGCAGTTACTTCTCCACTGGGGTCAGGGTCTTCTCATCTCTGTTGTGAAGGGATTTGGCTAACAAGAGGGTTTCTAATACCCCACACACACACACCAACCCAGCTCAGTGATTCTGTGACTCTCAGAGTGTTCGGCAGGTCCTAGAGAGCTGGAACAGAGTGAGGACAGGCCTGGGGGTGGGTGGCCACCTGTGGGGAGAGGAAGGGGGATGTTTTCATCATTGTTACTGGGCTCCACTAGTGGGACAGGCAGCCAGAGCGCCAGTTTCTTCTTCCACCAGAAGCTTTTTCATCTCAGGCGTTTTAGTTGAAATTTGCCTGACTTAAGTCTAGCTCAGCCAGAAAGCAAATACACAGAGCATGGAGTACCACGGTTCCCTTCCAGAAGAATCCTTCAAGCCCTTTCTCTCTCCCCTCCTCTGGGGCTATCCTAGTTCTCTTTCTTTATATACTGATTCTCTCCTGGGTGAAAATGTACCTGTGGTGAAAGTTCTTCTGTTATCCTTCCAGACACTAATGCATTTAAAGAGGAAACGGACTGTTACCAGCCTTAAGCGATTTCCTCCTTTCCCTTGCTAGATTTTGGGGAGTCTGAGTTATTTCAGTGGACCTCGGCCCTGGAAAAGGCTTCCTAAGAGTCACTCCAAGATCCTTAAACAAATGAAACCCTTAAAGCCAAACCTTCAAGAACATCTAATTCAATGTCTGAGACCCTTGTCACTTCTAGAAGATCAATTTTAGAGCTATGGTTCACAAAGAGGCCTGACTCTGATTAAGGAAGGCCAATGCCAGATCCTATCCTGTCCTGTTTCCGGATCGGATGAGAACACGAGGCCGAGGTGGAGACTGCGATTTCCTGTGTGTGAACCCTGAGCAGCTCAAGGGCAGAGGACCCCACTCCCCGCCCAACCCAAGAGGCTGCCCTGCGTCCAGGCCCCCAGGCCCGATAGACCTGGCCATCCTCACTGACAGGGTCAGGGTAGAAGGTAAAACGGGCCAGGCCTTCTCCCCAGGGGCTCCTGCTGTGGACTTCGCAGAGCCCTGAAGGCTCGTCTCAGAGGACGGGCATGCCACAAGCTTTGGTGATGGGTAAGAACAAGGGCCAAAACCAAGCTGCAGCTGTCAAGTCAGGCAGATGTGGAGTCCCTTCGCTCCCCAGAAGGAGGCCCCTTCCTACAGACAGGGAAACCCCCTTCCACAGGGCATCCTGACTCCCAGACCTGGAACAGAGCAAGTGACCCAGGGGAGCTAAGCCCCATAAACCCTTCCAGAGGCCAGAGAGGGGGCTGAGACTTCTGATCCCCTAGAGAAGAAGTGTCAGGGCAGGCTCTGTCTGCATATGCCTGGAGGACCACAGAGCCCCCACCCGCCATTGAAGGCTCTGGAAGGTATGGCACTGTGCCAGAGATGGCTGATGACAGAAAGGCAGTGAGAGGCAACGCACGGGCTGCCCCGCCTGCCTGGAGGCTGAGCATGGGCACACGTCCCTAGCAAATCCTGGACCCTGCGCTTGACCTCTTTGGCCATGACTCCAGGCTCTAGTTTGTGTGTCCCGGGCCTAAGTCCTTCCACACCAGTACACTGCTCAGCAGCCCCAGTGAGTGACCAGGATGTGGCAAGGGGAGCGAGAAAGATCCTCCTGGCGGGGTCTGACTGGATGGAGAGCAGAGCTGCCGGACCTGCCCACTGCAGCTGTCATCCTGCCTGCAGCGGGATCGGGCGAGCTGAAGGGCAGAAGTGTGTGCACGATCCCCGGTCCCCACCTGGACACCTCCCGTGAGCCCTTTCTCTCTCTAGAAGCTGTTCTTCCTCCAGCACCATGGGTGCTGTGGCTGGCCTGCATCCTCCCCCTGCAGTTCACCCAGATCCAGCGTCTCCAGGGTGCAAGGGCATGGGAACACGTCCCCCTGGGGACTGCCCATCCTTCCGGATGCCCACATCGCTGGGTGACAGCAGGGCTCTTTGGCTCCAGCTCCTGTCCTCCTCTGCCCACTACCTCTGGGTGTGTCCAGCACAAGGGATAGCCAGGGCGGGGACTCCTCCATTCAGGGTAAAGGCGAGGCAGGTGCCCTGGGTCCAGGAGGTCAGATTCCATGGGCTTTTAGGAAGAGAAAAGGAGACGGGAGGGCAGGAGGCTGACTCTGCTAGGCAGCCTGTTCTTCAGACACCGTCGTGGGCCTGGTGACCAGGGACCACACAGAAGCGAGAAGGACGGACATTACTGCACTGTTGCTGGGTCTGGATGGGGATCTAAACTTGACTCACCGGTTAAACCAGGCAGGACGGAGGAGCAGGAGTGGGGGGAAAGGGTCTTCAGCTTCTAATGGATGCAAAACTGCAAAACTCGGCCATCCAGCTTCCTCCACTGCCTCTGGCCAAGAGCAGGGGTCTTGGCCTCAGTGCCAGGGGGAGGCAGGGGCCTGCTGCCCCCTCCCTCCCAGCAGTCCACGGGGCCTCAGACTTGGGGCGGCTGAAAGTGCTGAGGGTCAGGCCCTGGCCCAGGTCAGGTTCCTAAGAGGACAGTTGAGTGGGAGGCTGGGGACCTGGAAAGCATGGGGCGTGGCCAGTGCCCCAAGGTCGGGGAGGGCGCGGGGATGGGACCGGAGGGGCCCTGTCATGTGGCCCATGAGATGGCCGCACTGTGCTCCTTGGCCTTCATGCGGAGGGCGGCAATGCTCGAGGTCTTGCGGTCTGGCTCTCCATTGAGCTCGTAACCGTTGAGGCCCGGGCTGAGGCCCGCTGCTCCAAACAGGCCACCCATGTGCGTCTGGCCGACGTGACTGCCAGCCCCAGAGACACTCAGGAAGTCGGTGACGCTGCTGGCCCCAGAGCCAGGGGGGTGGGCATGAGGGGACATGCAGGCTGGCACTGGGTCACAGGGGACCACGCAGGCAGGAACGGGCGAGGCAGCCCCATTGTTGCCAATCCAGGATGGGTTCTGAATCTGGGGAGGGAAGGGAGAGATGTCACAGGCCGGCGGGGGGAGGTGCGGGGGGGGGAGGGGAGTGCATAAGGGGCTTCCCCTACTCCCTGAATAACCTCTCCCCACTTAGCAGCCCGTCATTATGATGAAACCATTCTCGAACTTACATGGGAGCCTCTCAATACTTTTAAGGCCACCCAGATGCCCCCAGGAGAGCCAGGGTTTTATGCTTTGGCTCCTGTGTTCCCAGGGCCAGGCTAGCAGCAGATAGAAATTCCCTTTTAAGAACTGAACATCAAACTTCCTCAAGGTCCAGTAGAAGAGCTGTCCCGGGGCCACCGCTAAGCAGCTGAGGACAGCCCCCACCCCAGCCGGGCGGCGTCCTGATTTTAGACGCAGTTGCAGACTTCATCTCTCCATCTGTAGACGCCTTGAGGTCAGCGGCTGCCTTACTCGCCTGTGGCTCCTCCCAGGCCCTGGGCCTCTGAGGTACCTGATAAATGGGGGCTACCCCCAACTCGGAGAGCGTTGGCATTGGGAACACAGGCTCTGGGCTTACACGTTGTGGTGTGGAGGGGGTAGAGGTGGGCAGTGGGGGCCTAAATCTTCCAGAAGCCAAGGTCATGGCTGAGATGCCAGGGGCTGATGCCCTCGAGGCTTCCGAACTCACTCAGGTCGGAAGGGCTGCCTTGGGAGGTGGCGAGCAGCAGTGAGTGGATGGATGGAGCCAGCTGGATGCCCACATGCCTCGGGGTGTGGAGGGTGCCCGGGCAGCAGTGGGGGCTGAACTGGACATCTTGTCTCCCGTCCATGCAGCTGTAATCCCTTTCCCCTCCCCAGCTCCCACCTGTGGACCCTTTTTCCCTCTAAACATTTATGGGGAGGTAGAGCTGGGGACTCAGCCAAAAAGACCATACATCCGTCCAAGTGTCCTGGGCGGAGGCGCAGGGCGAGCAGGGCGAGCTCTGGGAGGAGATGGTGCACCTCTCAGCTAGTGCATCGGATTCTCGGGGGCCCTCAAGCAGCTTCGCTGGCCTGCCCCCAGCCCCAGGGTTTGCAGTACACTCAGAGCAGGCATTTAAAAGCAGAGTGAGGACAGAACTCTGCATTGTCATGGCAACAAGAACTGCTTGCAGATTGGCTTTGGTTTGTTGGGTGATGGGGGATTGGTTGGCTTTCCCCACCCCCTCTTTCAGGTGGTCTGGGGAGTGTGACATGTGGTGCTGCAGAGGGATGAGCAGGGCCCTGTGTGGTTTCTCTCCCTCTGGCATGTGGCCATAGAGATCAAGGCCAAGGAGTTAAGGCTGGAGGTCCATCCTCCAGGGGACAGTGGGATGCTGGGTTTGCAGAGGGAGCGAGGGGAAAAAAAGATGAAACGACATAGCAGGAGCTGAGGCAGATGGTGTGTGTGTACGAGACACCCCGCATTCCTCAGCCTCACCCCCAGGCCTGACCCCTGACCCATTCCACATGAATCCTGGGAAGGGGAGGGGCACAGCTGGTCTTGGCGGGGTGCCCAGATATGGCAGTATGGCCCTGGGACAGCGAGAAGTAAAGGGGACTTAGGAAGGTCTGTGCCACTGGCTTGTTGCTAGGTGGGGCTGGGCTTGGAACTGAAGGTAGAGGCTATGACAGAGGGAGGACGGAGAAGGAGGAAACTGCCACCTCTGCTGGATAGATTGAGGGCTATCGGGAGTGGACTCAGCCAAAAGTAGATTTCTCCCAGCATCCTGGGTACCTGACATTATTCATATTCCTCACTGAGGACTCAAAGTCCACTAGAACAGGAGATTGGCTGACATCTAAGAAGATGCTCGGTGGTGACGGAAGGAGAAGATGGGACACAGCAGCCTGGGGGAGCTGACAGCCCACAAAGCAAGCTTTGTGAGACTATAATTCACAAAGTACTTTTATGGTATCTAGTTTAGATCTAACCCAGCCTTTCAAAGGGGTTGGAACGATCTGGAGCTGGGATGACAACCGGTCCTGGGTCGGAGAACTCCGTGCTCATCCCAGCCTCCCCTCAAGTCCTCGATATGTCAGGACCCCCTTTCCTGGGAACACTGATGGTTCCTGATGGCCTCAGCCTGCCTCGGTTCTAATGTCCATAGCAAAAGTGGCAAAAGCAGAAGAGGAGAAAGCCACCCTCACGGCCCCAGCCTTCCGTTCCCTAAAGGCCAGCCACGCCTGTGTCAAATGTGGGACAGAGGGCCGGCCGAGTGGCACGTTGGTTAAGAGCTGGCTTGGGACGCCAGAGGACCCCGGTTCGGATCCCACATATAAGGGCCAGTGACACTGCCCTCCACAGCTAAGATGCTGAACAACAGCTCAACCTGGATCTGGGCTGCCGTGAGGGCAGGTGGGTTGCCATGGGCTACCGTGTGTAGCCAGCAGCCGCTGTGAGCGGCCGTCCAGAAGACGGCGACTGATCTGCCTCACCCGGGAAGAGCGCAATGATGGTGCCAGCTTGGGCCAGTGAAGCAACGTCCTCCACAACTAGACTGAAGAACCAAAGGACAGCAACTTTTCTGTTCTCCTTCCCCCAATTCCCCAATAAAAATCTTTAAAAAAAAAGAAAAAATGTGGGACAGAAATGGCTCTGGGCTTCCCACAGTCTGGTATAAACAGGGACACACCTGGACGGGGCCTGAAGGGACCATGGAGCCATGAGTCCCATCTCAGAGGACCTAGGACCTTCTCTGAGGTGCCCGTTCTTGGAACACAGGCCTGGGGGTTGGAGCAGGTGGCTCAGGGCAGGGACTTACCTGGGCATAGTTCTCAGCTCGGGTGAGGAGGGGCAGCTCATAGGCAGTGGAGAAGTGGGTTCGGACCTGCTGCATCTGCCCAAAACGCTCCCTCTTTCTCCACTTGGCCCTCCGGTTCTGGAACCAGACCTAGAGGAGAAAGCAGTGGTCACAGGGGTCGGCCCCGAGCTGGAGGCCTCACCTTCAGGCCATGCAAGCCGATCCTTTGAGCCCCAACAGGATGTGGGGCTACAGATAAGCGCTGCTTCCGTCTTTATCCTTGAGAGCTTACAATCTAGAATGATCACCGGAAAGTCAGGAACGCAGCTCACCCCCGACTGGCCATGGGTAATGCCCGTGGGCCGGGAACTTCATTCTTCCTAAGCTTCAGAATCTAGAACAAGCATCTCACACATGAAACACATCACCGGCCACTTAGCAATCATCCAACCAACCCCAACATGTGGCCTCATCTGCTGTGGGCCTCAGACCCCTGTGGAGAGCCTGATCAAAGCTGTGAATACCGCTCCAGAAAAACCCTTCTAGAGGAATACACACACACACACACACCTGAGCCAGGTGAGGGAGCTGGAATCTTTGGGATGAGGCGGGTCCATTTCCTTTGCTGGAGCATTTCTGGCAGGCTGAGAACTTTCCCAAGGCTCGTGGGAAGAGCTCACCTTGGGACCTGCTACCCCTGCTCATGACTTGGATCATCAGGTGGGAGAGGGTGTGAAAAGAATCAGCTTCCAGGCCAGGAATGGCTTCAGGCTGAGTCAAAGGCAGACCTTGGAGCTTCCCAGAGGGAGATGTCTGTCAGCTTGATGTGTACCTGACAGCTGATTAAAGTGCCAGTGGGCACACCGGAAACAGCATACCATCAGCAGCCTCGTGGATGGGGAACACAGAGCAGTGACAGGGAGCTTGGCTGCAAAGGCCTAGGCTCTGAGAGAGCCGGCTTTCCTCAGGCACAGTCCCTGCTGCGGGTGGAAACATTTCCTGTCCATCATGATCAGTGCTGCTACAGAGCTATAGGTATAAGAGGGGTCATCTCCAGAAACAACTGTCAACTAGAGCACCAGGCTTCCTCATAGGAGGGGGCTGGAGCTGGGCCTCAGGCACAGCCGGGCTCCCCATAGGGCGGCACGGAGCCTTCAAGGCCTGAGGAGCCTTCAAGTGTAGCCGGGAAACGGAGTGTCCATTGGAGTGTTTGGCATTGCCAACAGCCTCAGTTTCTGCATCTGGAAAATGGGCCAATATCTGTATGGACGTCCCCATAGGGATGGTGCCTCATAGGGCAGCAGGTGAGATAGGCACGAAATTTTGTCACAGGTTTTGGAGTATTTCACACTTATTTCTTTATAGCTCCTGACCTTTGTGTCTTTTGCTAGAGGAAAGGAGTCAAAAAAGATGGAGTACGTGTGTCTCATGTTAGTGTGGAGAGGGTGGGGGTCAGGAGGGGTTGTGGGACTACACCTCATTTTTCCCTCACTAGTGCCAAGTACACATGTGCACCAGTAGTGTACACACACACACACACACACACACCACACACACACACACACACACTGGCCAACATTTCTTTCAGAGTCACTCCGTCTCCCCTTCTTGACTCTGTGGCCTCCCTGGAGACTGGCCCTCTCCTGGGCTTGGGGTCTCAGCCCTGCCCCAGAGCCTCCCAGGGCCCCTTTTCCTCCGAGGGCTCTGGGGTCCAGGCCCAGTCCGCCCGCTGGGAGCCAAGGGCATATTGGGTCTCGTCTCTGCGCTGCTGAAATGGGATCCCCCTTTATCAGTGGCCTGGAATGGGGGACTGGGGGCAGGATGAGAGACTGCATCAGAGGAGCTTGTTTTCATTTCATGTTTAATTTCCTGCAGGCTTAGCTCAGTCTTCCCGCTCCTTCCTGCACCTCCCAGGGTTTTCTGTGGGGAGAGCCGGGGAGGAGGGGAGAAGCCCCCTGGAGGCATCAAGATGGCTTCTTTCTTTGGGGGCGGGGAGAAGGCAAGAAAAAGTTTGTGTTGCTGCCACTGCGGGGGTTTCCCTGAGTCTCTGTGGGCTCCGGTCCCTGGGTGGGAACATGAAGGTGGAGAGGTGCCGGCGGAGGTGTCACAACGGCTCCGGATGGGCTGGGAGGGTTGTAGAACACGGAGGACGGAGTCCAGTGTCCCGAAGGGGGCCTGGAGTTGAGGGGAGGAGCAGAGTTGGGGGAGATGGAATGTGAAGTGGGGGGGCTGGAGCTAAGTGTGGGGGAGGAGGAGGCGGGGGAGAGGGGAGACCTGGTTATCTAGGAAGACGGATGAGCAGGCGTGGGAGAGGCAGCAGAGATAGCACTGTCTTTGGGAAGGGAGTGGACTGGGGTCAGGCTGAGGCCTTTATTTGAGGGCTAAAGATGGAGCTTGTGGAAGGCGGGCCAGCTGTGGGGGTGCAGGCCAATGGGAGCAGACCTGCCCACCTCCTCCTCCGAGTCCTTCCGCCCTGGGCCTTACCCTGTGTGTGAGGCTGGGGCTTTGCTGCCCAAATCAAGACTTAAGTTAGCCTCTCGGGCCTTCAGTCTTCTCACACATAAATTGGGCGGTGGCAGGGGAATCCTCAGAGGCCCCTCCTGGTCTGGCATTCACGGGCCCTGAGGCTCCGAGTTTCCTCCATTTCTGACCCCTGGAGCCTGGGATTCTGAGAGGCCCCCGCCCCAGATGCTCTGTGCCCCAGGCCTGTCTCCACTGTCCAACCCCAGGAAGGAGAGCGGACCGCGAGGTCCCGGCCTTCCATTCTGCATGTCTCACCCCAGGACCACCCCAGCATGGGCCCACTCAGCACAGGCCTCTCCCCAAGGAATCAACTGTCTTGGCAGAGGCCTTGTTAACCGCAGCCCATCTGGGGCCAGGGTGGGGTGGCCCAGGGCGCGGGAGGGAGGGAGGCCTCTGTCTTATTGTCTTCAGACACCAGCTGCGGAGATCGGAATCCCAGACAGCAGAGAGAGGCCCCTTCAGCCCCCTGGAGCAGGGCCAAGCCCCGGGCTTCTTCCCAGGAAAGGTCCATCTTGGCGCCCTCGTCACCTCCTCCCTGTCCCCACCGCCACTCCACGCCAGGCACCTGGCTTCCCACCAGCTGAGGATGGGCCCCCGAACTAACTCAGCAGAGGCAGGCAGGGGGTTCCATCAGCACTCCCTCCACCCCCCAGGGCACTGTCAGGCTCAGGGCTCAACCCAGAGGTCTGACGCACATAAGGATCCCACCCACCTTGCTGCCTTTATACAAAGAAAAGTCTCGGAACAATCTGGCACGTGTCTTGGTCCGGCAAACTGAAGTCAAGGCAGCAGTGGGGTGGAACTCAGGAGCCCTAGCTTCTAGTCTCAGCACTGCTAGGGAGTCACTGTGCCTGAGTCGCCTGGTCACAGGCAATCATTTCCCACCTCTGGGCCTCTTCTTCCTCATCATCAAATGAGAGGACCAGGTGATCCTTCCCGGCATGAACATTCTATCATTCTATGATCCTCCCCGTAGATGATAAGATATGCAACACATTAGGGTTTCCCTTTCTGCCTTGGCTGCCAGGAAGCTCAGGGTTGCAATTTGTCCTCAGTGACAACTATGATCCTAAGCCTAGATTTTTGACATAATTACCTTCCCATTTTATGACATTGTTCTTGTTCTTAGATGAAAATAGTAAATCTTTAATTGTAAGCTGCCTCAGCTCCATTTCTAGAAGTAGGCATAAATTCTGTGTGTGTGTGTGTGTGTGTGTGTGCATGCGCGCATGCAGACAGAATACTCTATTTTAGGTGGTGACTGAAAAATGCTAGACATGCCCCAGTGTGATTTCCATGTCTTGTGCTGAAAGAGCCATCCTTCTTTCGATACTAAGTGATTTCTACTCCTGGGCAATCCCACCCATTTGTTAGGAACACACACATGCTCACACATATGTATACACATCCTGCACAGGAAAGGCACCGGTTTGTCCCACACCAGCCCAGCCCTGGAGAGGAATGAAACAGACAGCCTGCTCTTGGGAACTTACGGTTACACAACCTGACTATTCAGAATCACTTCGGGTCCCTAAGTTCATGGATGGCTCCGTCTTTACTGATAACTGCCAGTCCTTTTTCACATTAGCTATTATAGAGGAAAACGTTTCTGGCCTAAATTAGAAATGTGCCTTATTAAACAGAATGTGGTAGAGTGCTGAACCTTTTATTGACGCCTAATGCAACAGGGGGCGCCGTTGGGTCTGCTGAGGAACCAAGGGCTTTGTCCTGGCTCTGGAAAGCCCGCTGAGCTGAGCTGAGCTGAGCTGAGCTGAGCTGCTTTAGAAACAAAACAAACAAACAAAAAAGTATTTTTCTCAAGCTGTTGATTTCCCTAGCCCCACTGGAGGGGGGAAAAAACTGCTACGTGACAACATCGTATTGCTATTTCTGACATGCCCTGGGGTGGAAAAGCAGCCTGAGCAGGCTATTCATTTTGTGCTCAGCTGTTTGAGCTCTAGTGCATGCATTTTGTCACCTGTGTTGGAGTACTCAAAGGTCTTGGCTTCCTTTCTGATTCTTTCTTTGCTGAATGCAAAGTTTTCATGCAAGTTGGGGGAATGCACCTCGCTGGACAAAAGAGGTCAATCAGTCCACAGATATTTCTTTCTTGCCCTTGTTGCTCTGAGTTCGGCCTTCTCTAATTGGTAGGAATACAATGATGAACAACCAGACAGTACCTGCCCTCAAAGACTCACTTTCTAATGGGAGGAGACACAGATAAAATACTTTGACATTTATAAATTCTACAAATAAGATAAAATAAGATAATGTGGTAGTAGGTAACCTGGTTCGGTCATGTTGTGTTGTGTTGTGTTGCTTTGGGTTGGGTTGAGTTGTGTTGCACTGTGTTGGTTTGGGTTGAGTTGGGTTGTATTGGGTTGAGCTGTGTTGGATTTTGTTGGGTTGGGTTGGGTTATGTTGTGTTGGATTGTGTTGTGTTGGGTGGCTGGGTGGTGGCAGGGGACTACTGCTATAGCCATGGTGGTCAGGAGGACTTCTCAGAGGAGGTATATCTAGTTGGGACCTGAGAGATGGAGGAGTAGGCAGGTCAGGCTGGGCAGAAAGCAGAGCTGGACTGTGCCCTATCTCTGTCCATCCGGCTGCTGTGGATGTCTTTAGGTTTATCCTGTTTCCTTTCTAAGAGACAGGCCTTCCCGATCAGCGACCAGGCATCTTCTCTTTGAAAGGGCCTGGACTGTCACACCGTGTAGAGCCCAGAAACACAGCTAGCAGGCTTCCTGCCCCTCTGCTGAGGGCCCTCATTCACTCCTGCTCCAACCAGAGCAAAATCCTGATATAAACGTGGATACAAGCAGACTTGCTCTGGCTGGAGCAGGGGTGGGAGGGGCAGGCTGGGAGCCTCGGAGGCTCTCCTTGATGAGGTGAGGAGGGGGTGGCTGAGGGACAGTCAGGCAGCCTCAGCTCAAGCCACCAGCCCAAGGGCAGGCCCTGCTCTCCCTTCCCAGTGCAGACACACTCACTGACCTGCACGCGGGCCTCGGTGAGGTCCGTCCTCATGGCCAGCTGCTCCCGCGCGTACACGTCGGGGTAGTGGGTCTTCTGAAAGACCTTCTCCAGCTCCTCCAGCTGGTAGCTGGTGAAGGTGGTTCGGTTCCGCCGCTTCTTGCCCTTGTTGCTCTCCGAGTCGGCCTTCTCCAGTGGGCTGGGCAGGTCGGCGCTGGTCCGGTCCTGGGGCCCCTTCACCCCAGCCTCCTTCACACTGAGGTAGCTGCTGTCCATCCCCACGGTGTCAGAGTCAGGCGGTAACTCTGGCTCACTCAGGGAGCTCTCTTTGGCTGAAGGAGTAGGATACAAGGTCAGAAACCAATGGTCGAATCAACCAAGAGAGGAGGGAGGGGTGGGGGAGCCACCCCCTGCCTTTCCCCTCTCAGGGGTATACACTGGATGCAAGGTCAGGAGGCTAGGGTTCTAATCCTGGCTTTCCACTAATATACTGTGTGACCTTAGGCAAGTCCCTTTCCTTCTCTGAGCCTCTTTGACATTATCTCAGAAAGAGCCCCTTTCAGCATCAATATTATGTGACTCTGAGTCAACCAATCTGACCTCTATGACCTTTAATTCCCACCCCACTGACCCCCGGATCCTCGCTATAGAAGGATCCCCTTTGCCAGAACTTCTCCTTCGGGCATCGAGGATGCCTGGGGTGGGATGGAAAACTCATTCAGCAGCCATGTCTGGCCCAGCTGGGCCTGGGGTGAGGAGGTGAGGTCAGCATCAAGGCCGACAGGGTCGCCCCTCCTTTCCTGACCTGGTCTTGTGTGAGGTTCAGCAGGTGCTGTGGAAATTCTGTCCCAAGAATCCAGTGCTGAGGAGTCACATCCCCTTGCCCCCCACACCAGCCTCACCTATTGACCCAGCAGTGTCCTGCCCTCTCCTGGGGGGCCCTGCTAGGTTCACACGAAGCTCAAGGCTCAGCACCCCCGCCCCCACCAAATGAGGCTCTGCCTTCCGATTCCTAGAAGCTCAGCGCTGAAAAGGACAAGTCAACCCAAGCAGGTCAGGACGAGGAGGCAGAGGCCACGGGGGGAGGGTGGAACGGAAGTAGCTTGTCCACGTCCACAAAGCCCAGTTAGCACCCTGGGCAGACACATTGGCCTCTGAGCCGGGCACCAGGGTGTGACTCCCACAGGTACAGCTCTCCAGCTGTGAGCTTTGGACAGTTCACTTAACCTCTTTGTGCCTCAGTTTTCCACTCTATAAAATGGGGATGAAGATGCCTGTAGGGATTCTCATAGGGTACTTGTGGGATTAAAGAGGCCAACATGTAAAGCATTCTGCATGGTGCCGGTTGTGTGAGTTTGTGCCGGTGTCATTCCCAGTTCTGGTCTGGACTTGCGAACAGCAGAGGACTGTGACGCTGGAGAAGTCCTCCAAGTGGGCAGACCCTCTCTGGAGCACCTGAGTGCAGGGGCATGGGTGGCACTGTGGGAAAGGCACAGGACTGGTATCTGGAGACGGGTGTGAGCCCCTCTCTGAGCCACATCGCCTTGTCTGTGACTCTTGTGAAGTGTGAGGAGCATTTGACAAAACCTTTCACATGCACAAGCTCTGATCATCACAATCATGAAGTCACTCTGACCCTCAGTTTCCTCTTCCAAGAATAGGTCCAAACAACGGGCACCAAGTATCAGGACGATGCCTGTAGCCCAGGTCTCCTGACTCTGTCCGGGTCCTGGGGGCCGAGGCTTCAGGTTCACTCTCGTCCCTGGCTTTCTGTGCACACTGGGGTCTCTCTTCATGCTGGGAGAGCTGAGCTGCACATTTTGCCTCTGTCAGTCGCACCTCCCTCTCCAAGGTACCAAGGAAAGGGGGTGGAGGTGAGTGGGCCTGGAAGCAGCTTTGGGAGGACATTTCTGAGCGTCACTACCAGTGCTGATGCCATCGGGATGGTGGGCTGTCCAGCAGGCATCACGCATGACACCCATGTGAGCCCAGGCACACGCAGATTGCCAAGGATTCCATGACAGCATTATGCACACTGCAGCTGGCAGCTCGGCCAAGAGCTTTCAGCAAAGATATTTATCTTCCTGGCAGACAAATAAGTCTTATGTTTTGGGTATGTTTTGTTTTTTTTTAAGAGAAGAAATCCCACTCAGCCTCACCAAAAATAAACATCTTCGTTACGCAACTTCCTGGAGCCAGACTGGGACAGGGCAGCCCTCACCCCTCCTGCCCTAGCCCTGCTCCCCCGGGCCCCATCCCATGACCCTGTGGACCCTTACAGCATCCTCTGGCATCCATCCTGGGATTGGGACCACCCCACACAGCCACAGCGGCTGGGCTGCCCAGAGGGAGCTCCATGTTATAGAAGCTGAGGGTTGGTAGGGACCAGCCCAAACTCCAAGTTTTAATGGGGAGGGGGGCGGGCTGAGGCCAGAGAGACAGCAGGGACTATGTGCTAATTGGCGAGAGTGTGGCCTCTCACCTGGGTCCTTTTCTTAGGGAGAACAGTAGAGGCAGAGGAATCCAGGGGCCTCATATAATCAAGGGTTCTCACTCTGGTCATCCAGCGGGCAGAAGGACCAGCCCCTGAGGAAAAGGGAGTAAGAATGCAGCCCCTGAGAGAAACCCCTCAGTGCCGAGCTGGTTCTGGGCTTAGCCTGCCTAGCCTTCAACGGCGAGAAGCAAGAATCCAGTTTCCCCACCTCCAGCCACCCACTGAGACCCAGCGAGAAGGGGAGAGATGGAGAGACAGCACTGTATGTGCAAAGTCCACCGGGCCAAGAGTTGGGAGATCCACTCCCGGTCCAGCTCCAGCACTGTCGTCAGCCGACTCATTTCACATCAGAGTCTCGTCTACAAATGGAGCAGGCATGTCCCATCTGGAGTGGGGCGAGCAGGCAGGGGTGGTGCCACACCTCAGCCCAGTGGCACATCCCTCGCACTTTACTCACCAGCGGACCTTCCCTTAGGACGTGGGTAGGGAGAAGGATGGGGGCATGTCAGCGGGTTGGAAAGGCTGAGAGATCAGTGGGAGTGAGGCTTCTGGTCTCAAAGGGGAAAAAATGCCTCCTAATCTCAGTCTGTTTAGTGATCATCATGCTTTAAATCCCAAAGCTGGGTCCCTAGTTTAGACAACAAATGTAATTCCCCCAAGGTTCTGTGTGGCCCACCCAACTGGTCAGAACGGCACACCAAGGCCCCCTCAGGTACTCAGTCTAAAGAGCCCAGACCGGAAAGCACCTATTTCAACCTCATTCTACCCCAAAGCATCTCCATCAAGAGCTGTCATCCAGGCTTTGGGGACAGAGAGCTTACTGCTCCCGGGACAGCAGGACCATTCATCCAGCCCGTGTGTGTGTCTCAGGTAGGTCTGGCTCGTTGGTCCTGGTTCTGAACCTCCAGGCCCTTCCCCAAGATAGCCCTGTGGACATTCAGAGCCGGCTGCCACCCACCCCTCTCCGAGTCTTCCTTGTCCTAACTAAATAGTTGTAGTTCCTCATGTGGCCTCCAGCTTACCGAGCCTGTTTGAGACAGGTGGGTGCCGGGGACGGGCTGGGTGACAGTGCTGGGCTTGGGCCAAGCCTGCAGATTCCTCTCCGACTAGATGAACCTGAGGGGCTGGAAAGGAAATCAGCGTGGTGGCCGAGGCCTGGGTGCCACGGGGAGCCAGCTCACTCGGCAGCGCCCTCCTCAACAAAGACAACCGCTGAAAACAGGCCCCTCAACTCAGGCTGACTTCCTTCTGACCAAAGGAAACCACTGACTCCCTGGGTCCCCCTCATATCCGCCTCCGGTCACCTGTCTGGAATGTCCCTTTTTTCCAGCTGACTTCAAATCCAGTCAAGCACCAGCTTCTCCAGGAAGCCCTCCTAGACTGCAACCGCCATAGAGATCTTTCCATTTTCTGCTCAGCTGCTCCAATTCCTAGTTTCTGACTAGTAGATAATCAAGCCCTGAATGTCCAGCTCCTCCTATAGAATGTCCGCAGGGTTGGGACCTCATGCCATTTGTCCCTTTTCAGCGCAGGGCTTAGCCCAGGACGGGGCAGGGGGCAGACATGCAGTAAGAAGTTGCTGAGGAATAAACAGACACTTTCTAACAGACATTACTGAGCTCTCACTCTGTCCAGCTACCTTTGTGTACCTACTGTGTGCCAGCGCCCTATAGTGAACATGAAGAAAATATTGCTGAACAAATGAATGAACCAATTTGTCCTGGCAGACAATGAGGGGCATGAAAAAGAGGCATGTGATGACGAATGCAGCCATTGAAGGTTGGCAGCTGAAGCGGGAGGAGGGGATGAGACCACCAAGGGAGACAGGACAGAAGACCAAGACAGACACTGAAGGGTGCTCCACGCCGGGAAGCAGGAGGGGCCGAGAGGCAGGAGAAGCGGAGGGCAGGCTTCACGGAGGAGGCTTGGGAATGTCAACGTCCCGTAAACCCCAGTCCAGCATCTGCCAGGCAGGAACCGGCTCCACACCCACCAAGCTGCGACACCGGGGTAGAGGAAAGGCCACTCGGGGACTCTCAGCTGGCCCAGCTGCCAGGCCAGCCTTCTTCAGGCCCGTGGCACCCAGCGCTGGCATGAGGCTGAGCAGGCACAAGCCCCACCTGGGTGCAGGCCACCTGACTGCAGGTCCGGCTCTGTCCCTGCCCCTCCTAGGGTGACTCCTCCGTAGAGTCCGTCCTGGCGCTCTGCTGACGCCCCTCCCATCGTGGGCTTTGTCCGGCCCAAGGCTTTGTAATCCCAATCGGCATCTTCCCAGTAGAATGTCTTGATGTGGAAATAAACCCCAGACTACCCAGAGGAATCCAGTGACGTGCATAAAATATCAAGAGTAATCACAGCCTGCCTCCCAGAAGGTACTCCCGGCAGGGTGGCCATGATGGTATCACACGCCCTTCAAACAGTCCTTGGTAAATGGTATTTCCACTGACCCCCTCTGATGAAATGGGAAGCACTCAGTTCAAGGTTATATTTCTTAATGAGGGGCTCCAGAAGGCCCTCCGGCCTCTGCCTGAACCTCTTCTGGGAGCCGCCTGGTCTGCTGCTGGACCATCCTGGCTATTGGATTTCGAAATAGAAAACCTTTCTTCATTCCCTTAACCTCTACCCATGTGTCTTGGTTCAACTACATGGTGTCACTCTAGTCTAACTTTTTTTTTTTTTTGACATGAAATCCCTTGGGAGATTTCCAAAGGTGACTGTGATTTTTTTTTTATCACTGATTTAAAGAGACATTATTTTTATGACTTATTTCAAAAGAACGAACTTCTAAAGCCATTTGGGGAGAGGATGCCAGAGGCATCTGTGTGTGTATTCCTTCCG